CCACTCTGGGCATCGGAAACTTCTGCTTCACTGTAATCTTGTTGAGGGGCTTGAAGTCGACGCACATGCGTCACCTGCCGTCCTTTTCCTTCGCCAGCACGGGATTGTGCCCAAGGGCGCTAGTTGATGGCTGAACCTTGCCCTTTTTCAGAAGTTCGTCTGCCTGGCGCTCAATTTACTCTTCAAGGTGCGGGGGCGTCTGTACCGTGGAACAAAGCTTGGGGCTGAGCCAGGGATGAGTTCGATGGGTGCATAGAGCGTCCGGCGGGTGGCCTGCCCGCCGGTAGCTCTTTGTTATTGTGTACGTCTGAGAACTCTTCCTTCAATTTTGCCTACTTCTGCCGTTCCTCGGGTGTTAACTGGATCGATTCCCCCAAAAATGCGGTCTTCACCAGACCATCACGACGGAGTGCGTGCGTGTCTCCATTATTCTCTGCAGCACCTCTGCGCAGTGCGGGAGCCTCGCCGCTCCCCTTTTCTTCGGACACGGTCTCCACATCTCGAACCATAGAGGATGGAAATGCCGTTGGGAGAGCTGCGAGGTGCACTCATCACTTCCAGGCGGAATGACCTCGATGGCAGCATCAGAGGAACGCATTTGCGCCTTCCACTGGGTCACCCATGGCGTGCCTAGGATTATGCCGTGGTGAACAGATCCAACGTAGAAGTCCCTAGTCATAGGAATGTGCCCTGTATTGGAGCTGATGGAGCATTTTACGCCCATAGTTTTGTCGATTCTAGTATCCTGCCTGCCATCTGCGAAGCGTAGCCTCAGAGATTGCGCCAATGAGTAGACCGGTAGGCTGCATCTCCTTGCTGCAGCTCCCGATATCATATCCACTTCGCATCCCGTATCGAGTAGGGCCATTAAATCGTGTACCTCCATTCGTACTTGTACAAGTACTGAATTGTCTTGAGGTGGGTCTGTAAGTGCGGCCGTTATCTCCCGTGGCCCCTTCACTGCGCCGCACGTTGCGTTGGCGCCCGGGCGTTTGGCTGCTTGCTCTGTTTGTTCCCTTGGCGGCGCTGTTCGGGATTTTGTTTCAATTGTTCCGTAGCCTTTTTCATAAGCTGGCAATCTCGAAATACGTGACCCTGTTTACTACAGAAGAAGCAAGTACGCCGTTCAGAGTCTCCGTCTTGCTTTCTAGGTGGTGAGTTCGCCGTCTGCTGACGGTAGCCGCCTCTAGCCCCGTGTTTATCTGGCTTGGTGTTCACAGCCCCAATATCCATTGATTCCAAATCGGGATCGTTCCTAGGCCAATTTTCTTCTTTTTCAGCTAAGGCTGTGGATGTGGCTTTTTTTCCTTCCATTATGGGGAGGTATTTCATCATGTCAGCGAGTTCCACTTTTTCGCTCCTCATTTCCCTGTCCGTGGCCCAGCACGTCACTGTTTGCCTCACTTCGGGGGCTAGCCGCGCTATAAACCAATTGCAGTGGAGCTCCGCATCCACCATAGGACTTCGGTTCACCAAAGACTGGTATTTCTCAATGCAACGCTCTATTGAGAGTTTTCCCTGTTTAAGCTTTCTCAGTTCCGCCATAGCCTGCTCCCTTGCGGACCTCGGGATAAACCTGCAACGTAGCGCGTCCTGGAAGGCCTGCATTGACCTGATGTGCTCCGGGAACGTGGAGCCGTTGCTTAAGTGTAGCCACCATCGCCGTGCGTCCCCTTCTAACAACGAAGATGCCAGGGGGAGTTGGAATTCTGCTGGGGCATTTTGAAGGCGGAGATATAAGTCTAGGGAATTGAGGAACTCCTCTACAGCCTCTGCATCTCGTTGCCCATCATATCACGTAGGACGGCGCGACCGGAGGCACTCCTCATGAATCGTTTTTGGCGGGAATGCATTTTCTCCAGAATTGGATGCCGAAATGGAGCTGGCTTCCGCTTGCTNTTTTTGGCGGGAATGCATTTTCTCCAGAATTGGATGCCGAAATGGAGCTGGCTTCCGCTTGCTGGGGTTCCAGACCGTGCGTCGACCCCTCCTCTGTGAGTGGCTCATAGTCAACCTCCATTTTGCCGAAGAGAACACTGAAATTGGGAGAGGTTTCGTCCATAAAGGAAATGGGTTCCTATTTCGATATAAATAAATTGGCAAAATAAATTTTATATATATTTTTGCGATCGTTTGTCTTTCATCTATGCTTGATTTCACCCGTGTGGGGATCGGGCCCAGGCTCGCACCTTGCCCAGATGAACCATGCGGTGCTACCAGGTGTAACGCTTGTTCTCTGGCCTTTATCTGGCCAAAGACGGGCCGCAATGCAGGCAAAGGCTTAAAGCAAGAGTTTCCCAAAAGCAGATGACCTCCTTCCCCGTCCCTAGGCATCCTGGGCGTTGAGCTCAGGGCCTGGGTGTTGCGGGGAGAAGGCAGCCAGAAAGGGGGTTGCAGCGCACCCTGCTGCGGCTGGTGGTGCAAGCCAGCCCCACGCGTGCACGTAAGGAAGCTTCAGGGAAGCTTCCTTTGCTGNCTTCCTTTGCTGTATGCTTTGCCTCTGAACGAACTTGTAGAAGGTTTGCAAGCGCTTACACGCAGCGTGCCAGAACCATCGGAAGGCTCCTGCGCTAACTCTGCGCTAACTCATGCTACATGCAGGACATTTTGTGTTATGGATTCGCATCACCCTATCGTGTGAAGGACCTCGGCTCCCTAGTAGGCCTCACAATTTTTTTTTAATCTGCATTTGTGTTGTTGGGGGGATAAGACGCAGAGCTGTTGGCAGTGACTGGTGCATGTATTGACGTGAGTGGGATCAAGGTGCGAGGCCCATCTGATCCCTAAGGCCCCAAACTCCCTTAGAATGGCCCTTCTGAAGCGGAGTTTCTCACAGTCTAAGGAGCAAACTGAAGGCAATGTGGAAGGGAAACAGGAGTCAGCACAGGGACAGTTCCAGAACACTGTGCCAGACCTGCAAGGCATTGAGCGGGTGCGTCATCGAAATCGTTCGAGATACCCTTGATCGACTGACCGGGAAGTCTTGCTGCGCGAGCCGCCAAGGCTAGCGGACAACTCTTTCATTAGTACAGTTCTGAAAACTCTTCTTCATGCTTCTCGTGGACTGATAACCGGCTTGGGTAGCAGTGCGCCTGTCATCTAGGTAATCTCGGCAACATACATCCCGTCGGACTAGGACTCCCCCTCACATACTGGATGCTCCCGCTATCTTTCTGCAAAGTGACGTTGGTGGCAGACGATTTCTCGATGCATTTTCGAGTGGATAGCATGCTGAGAGTGAATCACCGCTACTACAATCTCACTGGCACCGGTTGAAGGGGAAAAACGCTCGTCGAAATAAAGGAGCACCCCAAGCGTGGAAGGCATCACGACCCTGATGAGGCTTCGAGCGGTTGTGCCTTCAGTCCTTTTCAAATAAGTTGTTTGTCGTTCTCAAGAAGATCAATTAGAGGGGCGGCCATGCGAGACAACCTGGACATGAAGTTGCAGTTGTACGAAAAGAGACGTAGGAACTTATTAACGCCCACGAGGGTGGAAATGGGTAGCGGCCATGTATGAATAACCTCAAGCTTCGCCAGATATCTTTCAACTCCTGATTCAGAGGCAAGAAGCCTGAGAAAACTAATTATTTTCGTGAAGAACGAACGACTTTGTGATTTTGCGAGCCAGTGTTTCTCACATAGAAGTTGCAGGGACGCTGGACGTGCTCTACAAGCAAAAGCAAATCCACTCCTTAATGCTTGGCCCCCTCGAATCATTATTGGCCGGTCGATACGGCCGCGGGGGAGCCTTCCGGAGCCGAAATAGCATAAAATTGCGCTCAAGGTTGCTGGCGCGGTTAGGAGACAGCGTCTTTCGCCGTCGTCCAGGACAGGAAGAACTGGACCTGCAAAAATGAATTGACGAAGTCAAATGATGAATAGACTTGTAAATACCGCAATCCGTCGAAACGTTCGTCCATCCGGAGCATCGAAAGCTTTTGTTTCAACGCGATCTTCTTGGCACGCCTGGAATCGAAGCACGTGCGCTACCTTCCATCACTTTTCTTCGCCAGCCCCGGGGGTCTTCGAAACACGGTAGTTGACGTTTGAGCATAGCCTTTTCTTAGCACTTCATTTGCTTGCAGCTTAATTCTCTCTTCACGGTGCCCAGTACCCGGCACCATCAAACAAACATTGGGCTGCTCCGCGAATCAATTCGACGCGGTGAATTGAACGTGGAACGGATGGCCGGCCCGATGGTGCCACTTTTCTATTAAGCTCGTCTGAGAACTCTGCCTTCATTTATGCTCACTTCCCTTGTTCTCTGGGTGTTCAATGGAACGGATTTTCAAACAGTGTTCCCAAGGAGGCCAGGCACCTCGCCATCGCTCCCTTCAGCACCTCTACACTGCGTAGTGGAGTTGTTCGTCTCTCCTTGGGAGGCCCGCTCCAGATCTCTTGCCGTCAATGATGTAAATGCCGTTGAAAGCGTTGAGCAATGCACAGTATCAGTACTTGCTTGTCCATGCACCTTTACAGTGTTGGCAGGTAGGGGGCAAGCATACCCCAAACTGGGTCATCAACGGTACGCGGAACATGATGGCGCGGCGAACTGCTCCAACGCAGAAGTCACATCATGTGGTAATATGTCGCATTTAGCTCTCCAGCCTACATCGTGTGCCCATAGTTTTGCTTTGTCCTGCCTGCCACTCGGGAACCATAGACTCAAAGACTGCGTCAACGGATAGACGGTGAGGCTGCACCTCATTGCCGTGGCCTCCGATACCAGATCCACTTTATAGCCCGTATCAGCGGAAGTTAGCAATCCCTGAGCATTAAGACGAGCTTGCGTAGGCAGATAGTTGGCTTGATGCGTATCAGCAGACGCGGCCGTCATTCCTGTCTGCCCCGTCACTGCGCCGTGCGTCCCGTAGGGGCCCGGGCGTTTCCGTTTGCTCCGTTTGCAACCCTTGCGGTGATGCTCGAAGTCTAGCTTCTCTGATTCTTTGGCTTCCGGGCAGTGCACGTTTGCAACAGGTACAAACGGAATGCGAGCCTCACACCGCAGAGCCGACGCTGAGTGCAACTCTTCCTTTTACTGTTCAAGCACCCAACAAACCGTATATACAAGCATTTCCATTCCCCATTTTGAAGCTCCCAATAGCCGCGTATCCCGTTGCTATACACCTATTTTTCATCTGCACAAGGATGGGTGTATAAGACTTCTCCCGACGGGACCTGTTACACAGCGATGCTGCTTTTCAGCAGTCTAACACTTCTATCAGCGCGATCTACAGGGGATATCTATGGCTGACAATAGCTATATTTTTTCTCAGCACCACAATAATGAGAAGCAACACGAGCAGCAGCCACGACCTGTTGCTGCTCAAGCCCTGCCATATGAAGGCGTCTTCCCACTAAAGCATGCTTAGGCTCCTGTATTCCCCCAAACATGCTGTAGTGGCGTTAGTTGGAGATAGGCAGGAACAGCAAGGTGCCTTCTGCCCTCTGCCAGCTGTGATTCTTCCAACAACAAGAAGTGCTAGAGTGAGATAAAAAGTCACAGATATACTTCATGACACAGCCAGTCACAGAAAGATTTCCACTCCCAGAAAGGGCAGAGGCAATTGTCCCCCCAGCCGAAGCTCCAAATGAAATCTTAGAGAAAACGTGTAGATACGCAGGTGCAGGCGTTCCCGCAACAAGGAGGAGCGCCCTTCCTTCTACTGATGCGTCCTCAGCATCCTGTTGTAGGATCAGCCCGAACAAAAATATGCACGCTTAGCAGTATGCAAGCTTGCACGTTCATTAGCGCAAATGCTAATATCCTTCAGGGTAGAAAGACAAAACTACGTGAGTGCCTTCGCAATCTGTGTAACTTCTGAAACACTGAGAGCACGCCGTGTGCAGCTGCCTATCATCCCGTCACCATACAGTGACGAATGGAGGGTCTCCCCCTAATGCTTCAATTATAACTTCCCTCAGAGACACTTGATGCTGATAGAGGGGCTAAGACTATCTAAAAGGTGGCAGAATACTGTCTAAGCAATTCTGAACTTGACTGGGAAGCACTTGCCCCCAACGACGGCATCAGCATCAGTCACAGCAACTGCGCTCCCCAGCAAGAGCTGACTGCTGACTCAGTGAATACAACAATTCTGGTAGAGCCGAATACAGCGGAGCGTTCGCAACAGCCAGAAAAAATAGGCGAGCAGAAACTGTACTAGCGAGACAGCCGCTGGCACAGACAAGCAGCGGCAGCAGAACAAATGATCAGATGCCCAAAGCATTCCTTGGCAGCAGGAAAGGCAAGTCAGCTGCCGCCCGAGATTACAGGAAACAGGTTGCCGAGACGACAACCCTAAACCTAACCCCCTCTTGTTACGATGCAGCAGCGCTAGCTGCCTTGATTGCAGCTGCTACGACCGATAGGTGAACTGCTCTCGTTAAGAGCTCGAAAGGGGGGTGGTACAGACTGCATCCGCACAGGCTACATGTCATCCTCTGTACTAAGAAGTTGCTGCATTGCCCTCAGGGCCGCTGCGGTATCGCTCTGCTGCAACAGAAACAAAATAAAACAAATTATACACATCATAATGCAGCAGCAACAGGTGTAAGTGCCTATGCAGCGCAAGCTACTGCTGCAGCAACAAAAACTGCAGCAACGCAGATGCAGAGCAGCTGAAAGACACAGAGAAAGACAACAAAAAATCATCGAGAGGAGACAAAGCAGAAACACCCCCATCTTTGTGGTTGGCTCATACAAGAGCAGTGCCGGATACACTACAGAAGGGCTATCAAGGCAAGTGGCACAGACGCAAGTACAAACAGGAGCAGCAGCAAGTACTAACAGCAGCAGCAATCAGCTTTCTGAGCAACAGCATATGCAGGAAAAGCAAATACCTCAATAGCAGCTGCATGCGCTGCAGCAAGCCCCATCGTGGCTTTCCCTAATATTGCCATAGCTGCCGTCTCCGTCTCTTGCTCTTTCAGAGAGCAGAGGTACTTTGGCCACAAACGAACTGGCGGCTGCTGCTTCTGCTGCTGCTGCGAATCCTGCGCTCTTGGCGACTGCTGCTGCTGCTGCTGCTGTGAATTCTGTGCTTCGGGCGACTGCTGCTCCTGCTGCTGCTGATTCTGTGTTTCTGCCGATTGCTGCGGCTGCTGATGTTGCTGCTCTTCCAGGAGCGGGCCCCACATGCTCAACGGCAGCAGCTGCTGCAGCAGCTGCTGCAGGGCACGCACGGTCTTAACGCTAGTTGCAATGCTGCTGCTAGTGGCACTGCTTTCCCCTGCATCTCCTGAGACATCAAGAGCCGCAAAGTAGTCATCGTCAGCCGCAGCAGCAGCAACAGCTGCAGCAGCAGCTGCTGCTGTGCTGTTTGCTGCTGTGGGCTCAGGCGTCTCGGGTTTGCAGAGTCGCTTACATACACCCAAGGCCTCGCGCATCAAAGCAGGATGAGGTTTCCGTGCGCCTATACACAACAGGCATACACAGACAGCTTCGTCTGATCCAGGAGCAGCTGTCTCTGCTCTTGCTGCAGCAGCAGCAGCTGCTCCAGCTGCTGCTACGCTGTTGCTCAGTGAGCTATGGCTACGCAAACTATGCTCACTCTGCTCTGCTGGAATGTCAGAAAGTAAGAAAGTGCAGATATTTAGCTACGCATGCATGCGTGTCTCGCTGCTTGTACACCTGGTGCTCCTCGAGCCAATAAAAACCCAGGTACACTCAGCTATGCATGCATGCATGCATGCACGCATGCATGAACTAACTGAATAAATATTTACACACAAGAACGCATGCATATATGCACCTGATTTGACGTCCTGCAAGTATTGGATAAGCCGCTGGACATTGTGGCTGCAGCACTCAAGCGCCTCGATCTGCTGCTGCAGTCTTGCTGGAGCTGCTGCTGCTGCTGCTGCTGCTGCAGTTGCTGTTACAGCCACAAGAGGACAAAAGCAAAGACAGCACAAAACAGGCAGCAACCGTGAAGCAAACAACAAAAGGAGAAAATAGAGAACAACAACAACATATGAGAACGGGAGACACAAAGAGATAGAAAACACACACAAAGAACCAAGAGGCGCACACGAAGACCCTAAACCCTAAACCCTAAACCCTAGCCCCAAAAGGAAAAGAAGAAGTAGATGGGAGCCCAACAAGCAAGGAGAGGCAGAGACACAGAGAACGAGAAAGAGAAGGAGAGAAGACAAAGGTGGAGACAGCAGCAACAGCAATCGAAGGGTCTATCATACTCTGTCCCTTTCTCTCCGTCACAGCCCCAACTGCTTCTGTCCCCTTCACCACAGCCTCTGCAGCTATTTTCCCCATGAGGCTCTACGACAACACACGCAGCAAGGAGACACAGTGCGTTGCTTGGTTCTCCCCTTATCTCCTGTTCAGCAGCAGACGCAGCAACAGCAGTGGCAGCACCAGAGTCGACTGCAGCAGCAGCAGCAATGTAGAAACAGCGGTAGCAGCAAACAGCAAAGAAACAAAAGCTGCAATGCAGCAGGTGAGGAAGCAGATGTTACCGTTTGAACCCTCAAGTGCGCAGGCCTGAGCTGCAGATCCTTAGCACCGCTGCTGCTGCAGCTGCAGCTGCAGCTGCTGCTGCCCTTGCTGCTGTTGCTGCTGCTGCTGTTGCTGCTGCTGCTGTTGCTACTGCTGGTGCTGCTCGGCACGCAAAGAAAACACTTGGTGGGGGGTTTATACACCCCAGAAGCGGCAAGCGCTCCATAGTCGAAAACAACCAGCAAAGGAAACTCATAGCCCCACTTCGTCTGAGCGAACAAATAAAAGCCACAAACCCTAAACCCTAAACCCTAAACCCTAAACCCCAAGCCCTGAACCCCAAACCCTGGTAGGCAGCTTTCCGAGCTGCCGCTACGACTCCTTTGCCGCAGCGAGAAGGGTAAGAAACGAAACTGCTGCAAGCAGCAGCAACACCATGACGAGCATCAGCATCAGCAGCAGCAGCAACAGCAGCAGCAACAGCACTAACAACCACAGGAGAAGCAAGTACCTGCGTCAGCAGAGCTGTGAGCGCCTGAGGCAGTTTCTGCTGCAGCGGAGACCTTGTAAAGAAGTAAAGACCCAAAGGAACTAAACTCTTATCCAAGGCCTGACGCAGAGACACCGCCTCCTGTATCACGCTGCTGCTGCTGCTGCAGGTACAGCTGATGGTGCTGGCGCTGCAGCAGCTGCTGCTNGCAGCAGCTGCTGCTCTTGTCCTGCTGCAGCAAAGATAAAGGCAGCTCTACACTCTCCGTTACAGCCATAGCCCCATAGTCTCGGCTCTCTCCGGCTGGGCCTGCGCCACACAGCAGCAACAAGCAAATAACACTGCAACTGCAGCAGCACTGCTGCTGCTGCTGCTGCTGCTGCTGCGCGGGGGCAGGCACTCATGCAGCACGAGGAGGAGTACAGAAGCACCAAACTCCAGGCAGAATACAAGCGAAATGAAATAGAGAGACAAATGACAAACAGCAGCAGCAACCTACCGAGGAGAAGGCCCACTACAGCGCCAGTAGGAACGTCGTCTTGCTGCTGCTGTTGCTGCTGTTGCTGCTGCTGCTGCTGCTGCTGCTGCCAAACCTGGATGCGTGCTGCGTGAGCAGCAATGGCCAGCAGCACCACAGAGTCGAGGTTCCTGAAGCAGCAGAGGCAGCATCACATGCAGCAGCAGCAGAAGTAGGAGCAACGCCCACAACCCCAGCAGCAGCAAACAAGTAGCAGCAGACGGAGCAGCAGCAACCCCGATGGAACCCTCGTGTACGTACACTTCGGCCATGGTGCTGTTGCCTTCTCCGGTGAGGAGGGTGCAGCCATTGTCAATGTGGCTGTTGCTGTTGCTGCTGCTGTTGTTGCTGCTGTTGCTGCTGCTGCTCATCCTAGCAGCAGCAGTGAATGCAGGAGGCCCTTTGCTCTCTGCTGTGCTGCTTGGAAGCAGATCTTCCTTCTGTAAGCGGGTTGCTTGCTGCAGGTGTTCGTGCTGCTGTTCGTCTCCCTCAAGCAGCAGTTGCTGCTCCTGTTGCTGCTGCTCCTGTTGCTGCTGCTCCTGTTGCTGCTGCTCCGGCCCTGTTTCGCTGTGCTCGGCAGGCTCGCACCTGTTGTTTCCGCTGGCTCCTCTCGCCCTCTTGGGCTTCTGTTCTGCCTGTTCTGTCAAAGAAGCACCCACGTTCTGTCTCTGCCGCTGGTCGTGTCCCTGCTGTTGCTGCTGCTGCTGCTGCTGCTGCTGCTGCTGCTCCTGCTGCGGCTGCACTGCGCGTAGAGAAGGATGCATCATAGGAAGGAACTTCTACAGTTCCTACTGTCTAGAGGTTGAAGATCTGCAACTCCAAGCAGGAGCCGCAGCAGCAGCAGCAGCGCATGCATATAGCAGCAGCAGGGGCCCCCCCATCCGCAGCAAACAGGCATATAACTATGGTGTCTTCTGCCTCAAGCGATGATATCCTATTTATTTATCTCATCTATAATAATAAAATATATTTACCTGCGTCTTATCCTCTCACCTACGCGAGTACTAGCGCGCGCAGTGCTGTAGGCCTTGAGGCCGGGGGGGCCCCCGTTGCCACAGGGGGCCCCCCCCGCTCACTGGGGAATTATCTATTCAGCGAGCAGCAGCAGCAGCAGCAGCTGCAACAGAAGCAGCAACTACAGCAGCAACAGTGGCACTCTACTCTGCGCACCATTGGTCCTAGTTTCAGTGTGAGCCACGAGGTGTGTGTACACGAGGCCAGTCTAGCGGCCAAGCATAACCCTACGGCCGGATATAGCTAGCTGGGTCTGCTTGCAGCTAGCTGTACAGCTAGCTGTACAGCTAGCTGGACAGCTAGCTGTACCCAGCGGGGTCTAGGCGCAGCGAGCTGTACCTCTGGGTGAAACAAGCCAACACCCGGCACAGCTACAACTCGGTAGCTACAGCTGGACACTGTGGAGTGAGGGGGGGTCAACGCAGTTGAACTGCTGCTGTTTCTGCAGTTGCTGCTGCTGCTACAGTTTCTGCTGCTGCTGCAGCAGCTGCTGCTGCTGCAGTTGCTGCTGCTCACCCCTGTGGGTTGCTAGCCGTGCCCGCTTGACCTCAGCTTCGCGTGTACAGAGGAAAAGGCTGTTCGCTGTGTGGCAGACAAACAGAAAGAAATGAGCAGAGAGAGAATATTGTTGTCTCCTAAACCCTAAACCCTAAAACCCTAAACCCTAAAACCCTAAACCCTAAAACCCTAAAAACCCTAACCCTAAACCCTAAACCCTAAACCCCTCGCTTTGAGCTGCATATACAGGCACTATAGATCCTTTCATTCCCTTGGGGCCCCCTTAGGCATGTGTACGTAGGGCCCCTCTATTGGCCTTTGCTGCAGCTCTGCTGCTGCTGCTGCTGCTGCTGCTGCTGCTGTTACTTTTTGCGTATTGCTCGACGTCTCTTGCCACAGAGAAAAAGGGAATTTCAGGTGTAGTACACCTGCGGGTTAAGACCGCTGAAAAAACAAAGAAAGTTCTCTCTAGCCTGGGTGACAAGCCGCCTGTCAGCCACAGACGGCTAGATGCTCAGCTAGCTAGCTAGCTAGCTAGCTAGCTAGCTAGCTAGCCAGTCGCGGAGCAACATCTCACTATGCTGGCGAGGCGGAGGTCACCGCGACAGGCGGGGCAGCAGCGACCGCCACGGGCAACGGCTGCATCCCGTGTCCCCCAACCACAGCCGCTTGATGCATGCGGCTCAGGCCACTCACCTCCGCATACAAAGGCACCACACAGGATACAGTAGAAAAAAGTAATGTTGTGCTGCTTGGAAGCAGCAGCAGCAGCAGCAGCAGCAGCAGCAGGTTGACAGTCCGCTGCGTCCACTAAGTGTTCAGCACCGCCGGGCAGAGGCGCCCCTGCGGCCCCTTCATTTTCGGTGTACAGACACCTGAGGCACTGAGCACACGCAGGGAAGCGGTGGCCATAGGCAGCACAGATGTAGCAGCGGAAGGGCTGCGAGCTGCTGCAGCCTTCACTCTCACAGAGGGGGCAGGCAGCCAGCAGTGCCTTTCCCGCCTTTACTGCTTCAGCAGCAGCAGCACCCCTCGGCATCCCTAGCCCGCCGCTGCGCCCCATGATGAGCTTATGCATGCACTCTTCGCCTACAACAACCACCTGAAACAGCGGGGACGGGCTGGTGCTGGTGCTGCAGCTGCCACCGTCGTAACAGCTCAAACCCTCACTGCTGCTGCTGCTGCAGCTGCTGCTTCTATTCCTCAGGTGTCTCGTAGGCAGCGTGTCTTGGGGGAGGAGCAGCGGCAGCTGTTGCTGCTGACTTGTGGACGACACGGGCTTGAGAAAGGCCCCGCAGTTCGCCGCGTTGCTGCGCTTCAGCAGACAAGCTGTGAGTGCATGCATGTGCTGCAGCAGCAGCAGCGCAGCCTCCTGTCTTTGTATTTCCCCCGTAATAGCTGAAAATATAGAGCAAACCCGCGAGGCAGCAGCAGCAACAATACTGCGCCGTTGATAGAGAGACGCTGCGATCCCCCTGCTGCAGCAACTGCTGCTCCAGCGAGCCGCAGCAGCAAGAGGCCCCTCTGTTGCATAGCCTGCGTCGTGGCTGTGCGCTGCTGCTGCTGCTGCTGCATCTGCAGCAGCAACAGGCTCGCTGGGCCCCACAAAGCGCAGCAGACTCATCGCCTCTGCTGTCTCCAAGAGGGCTGACCACAGGCCGCCCCTGTCTACCTCCTGCCCGTTGTCTCCTCCTTGCAGCGCCATCACCCAAACGGCTCTCAATATACTCCTCACTGCCACTGCCCCTGTGTCTGTCTCTGCTGCAGCTGTCACTGCGGTCTCTGCTGCTGCTGCTTCTGCTGCTGCTGATGTTGCTGCTACTGCTACAGGTACTTCAGCTGCCGCTGCAGGGTGCCGATGAGAGCCTTGCAGCAGACACAGAGACGCTGCTGTCTCCTTCGGCTCAAGAAATATCTCCGCCAGCAGCGCCGCTGAGGCCGCGACCCCACTGGACGAGTCCACAGAGACTGTCCCCTCCCCTGTACCCCCTCCTATGCTGGGTATCTGGCTTGAGAGGGGGTCCGCAGCAGCAGCAGCAGCAGCTGGTGATGCTGCAGATGCTGCTGCTGCTGGTGCAACGGCTGCATCCGCGCTGTCTGTGTCCCAATCAGAGGCAAGAGAGAATTCGTCGTCTTCACCGAGCCGTCTTGATCCCTGAGTGTCTCGGCTGTCTCTGTCTCCTCCAGCCCCTCCTCTCTGCATGCGCTTCTTCTCTTTGTTGTTGTCTTTGGGGACTGTCTGTGCCGGCAGCAGCCGCTGAAAGGGGCCCCGCAGTGCCACTCGGAGGGCCCACAGGCCATGCGCTTGAGCGCAGCACCGCGCTGCTGCTGCTGCTGCTGCTGCTGCTGCTGCTGCTTCAGTGCTCGCTGTAGCCGCTGCAGCTCCACACGCAGGCGAGCCCTGCGGTGCTGCTCCCGCTGCACGCGCCGCCTGAAGCAACCCCAGCAGCTGCGCCTCGAGAGACAGAAGAGACACTGCAGCGGGAGAGACAGCCAAGGGCGCCACTGCCAGCTGCAGGTGCACTTCGTTCTGCTGCACCAGTGTAAACAGCAGCGAGCCGCACGGCGACGGCAGCAGAACTGCGCAGACACCGCAAGCAACACAAAAAAAAAAAAAACAAAAGACGAATGTCCTAACAAAATGGTAATTATTAGGGTTTAGGGTTTAGTGTTTAGTTTTAGGGTTAAGGGTTTAGGGTTTGACGATTCAGGGTTTAGGATTTAGTGTTTAGGATGATAGCTACCATTCACAGCAACAAAACAAAACTGTCTCTGTCTCCGCATTCATGGCACCCAAACAAAACAAAATAAAATAAAACAAAACAAAATAAAATAAAACAAAATAAAACAAAATAAAAAAAGCTATTAATATCTTCGCTGAGGTTCGACAACACCGGGATAAACTGCTGCTCAGCAGCGACTCTACCGGGCTCCCCAGACAACGCAGCAGCAAACAAAGCGCTACAAAGCAGGCCCTGCAGCAGCATACAGCAGCAGCAGCAGCAGCAGCAGCAGCAGCAGCAGGAAGCTGCTGCATGCCGTACCCAGCAGCCGACGACTGAGGAGACTGTTCAGTCTGCGAGCTTTTACACTCGGGGGACACAAGCTGCCCCAGGGGTCTCCGTCTTCTCTCCAGTTCTCTCTCAGCATGTAGGGCTGTTGCTGCTGCTTTCGCTGCTGAGGCACCTTCTTCTGCTGCTGCTGCTGCTCCTCCTGCTGCTGCTCTCCCTGTTTCTGTCGCTGCTGCTCCATATCTGCTGCTGCTGTGCCTTCAGCGTCGGCGGGAGGTTCCCTACCGGCTGCTGCAGCAGCAGCGGGTGCAGCTGCTGCTGCTGCGTCTGCTGCTGCTTGTGCTGCTCTTGCTGCTGTTTTCGCAAGGTATATGTCTGAGGCCTCCGGCGCCAGAGCTCTGAAAGAGTGAGCTGCGCGGGGCATCAGCAGCTGCTCTATTCGCCCTGTGGGGTGTATGGACGTTATAGGGGCCAGCGGCTCCAACACCCATCGCAGCTGCATCCTGCTGCTGCTGCNTCCTGCTGCTGCTGCTTCGATTCTTCCTGCTGCACTCGGGGTAAAGCACAAACGGCAGCAGGGATCCCCTGCTCACCGCTGCCAACAGCATCAAAAAGGGTCTGTCTCCTTTCTGCAGCGCAGCCACTTGCTGCGCTGCTGCTGCTGCCTGAGGAGACACCCCCACACACAACACGGAGGCACAGCTGCACCCAACAGCAGCAGCAATGTGCTGAGCCGAGCAGCTCCTGTAACCCCACCCTAGAGCAATGAAGAGCAGCAACAAATGCATTGGTTTGTTGGTTGCTGCTGCTGCTGCTGCAGCAGCAGAGGGTAGGGGACAGCACTGCGAGAGTTTACGGCCCCAAGAAAAGGCTCACCAGATGAAGGGGCAGAGCTGGCAGGAGACAGAGACTGACGACGGGCCCCTCGATGGTACGCGATGCACTTGCAGCGAACAGGGGGGCCTCAGCTCTATAGATGGGGGGCTGGGGGGCCCCCATGGCCCTGCTGCAGCAGCTACAGGGGGCGTGGCAATGCCTGCAACCGACTGCAGCACGAGCAGCAGCTGCATCAGCAGCATCAACAACATCCGCATCAGCAGCAGCAGCAGCAGCAGCAGCAGCAGCACAGCCGCAAACACGCATCACAGCGGCACGCAAGCGCGACCCACAGACAAACGTAGCAACTCGCCAGCAGCTCAGCAGCTCCTGCTGCTGCTGCTGCAGCTGGTCTTGCTGCGGGTGCATACACCGGACGTTAGCTGCCATTGATAAATTCGTTGCTGCTGGCGACTCTTCCTCTGCATCCTGTCCTGCTGCTGTTGCTGCTGCTGTTGTCGTTGCTGCTGCTGGTGCTGCTGATGCTGCTGGTGCTGCTGGTGCTGCTGGTGCTGCTGCAGCTACGCCTGTTTGTGTTAGTGGCAGCAACGCGTCACTGACATCCGCCAGCTGCAGGAAGCCGCTGGGGGCCCCCGCAGGGCCAAAGAGGAGCAGCGGCTTGGCGACTCTTATCCCCCCAACAACGAAGACAGGGGCCCCCTGCAGCTCTGCTGAATGTGGGGCCTGTCTGCAGCAGCCTGTGAGCAAGAAGGAGCAGCTGAAGAGCCACACAGCGCCGCTGCCTGCTGCAGCTATCAACTCAAACGAGCAGCAAACAGAATTGTCGTATCTACAAGCAGTGGGGGCAGGGGGGCCCCCCATGGGGGCCCCCCCTGCTGCTGTCTCCGTTGAGCTGCAGAACCGCGGATCGCTGACTGCCATGTCCGTGATGATGTCTTGCAGCAGCACTGGAGGCATTGAGCAGCCATCACCGTTGATACTGCTGCTGCTGCTGCTGCTGCTGCTGTTGCTGCTGCTGCTGTTGCTGCTGTTCTGGGGGATAACTATGACCATCAACAGCAGAGGCTGCAGCAGTCCAGCTGCCGCAGAAGCTCGTTCTTCTTCTGCTGCTTCAACAGCAGCGTCAGCAGCTCGTTGCCACTTCTGCTGCTGCTCCTGCTGCTCCGCCGTTGCAGCAGGCGTTCCTGCTGCTGTGTCACCCCAATCCGCAGCAGCAGCAGCAGCTGCTGCTGCTGCTGCTCGGTTGTTTTTCTTCTGCTGCGGTTTCGCCTTTGTCTTCTTTTTGCCTCTGCGCCTTCTCGCAGCCCCGTCGTCAGAAGCTGAGCTGTCTGCATCACTATCGTTGCTGCTGCCGCTGCTGCTGCCGCTGCTGCTGCTGCTGTTGCTGGCGATGCTTACAGAGCTTGACGTGCAGCTGGCAGCCTCTGACGCGACGAAGCTGGTGGACGAGCCTGAGTCCCTATCTGTCTCTTCTTCGGGTTTGTCTTTAGAGGGTGATGCCCCCCCAGCAGCCTTGCGGCGCCCCCTGCGAGCAGCAGCAGCAGCAGCAGCAGCAGCAGCAGCTGCTGCTGCTGCTGCTGCTCGAGGCCTTTGGCTTCGCTGCCTTTTGGGGTTTGTCTCCTGTGTCTGCGGCTGCATCTCTCCGTCTATCTCTTCCTCGTTCTGCTGCACTGAACCACCTGCTGAGGGGCCCTTGGGGCCCCTAGACAGAGCAGAGCGGCCTTGGGGGCCCCTCCGCCTGCGGGGCCCCCGGGTCGATGCGTCTTCGTCGCTAGACGTCTCCTCAGCCAACGCTGCACTGACAGCAGCTCTGGCGCGCCGCGTTGCAGCGCGGCGAGGCCGCCCCCCGGGGCCCAAGGACTCAGGTTCTTCTCCCAAAGGACCAGCAGCAGCATCCGCAGCAGCAGCAGCAGCAGCAGCTGCTGCTGCTGCTGCAGCAGCAGCAGCAGAAGAACCACGGGACCCCAAAGGCAAGGAAGCGCCGGTGGAAGGAGAAGCTGAGGAAGATATATCCCTGGCAGTGTTGCGGCCACGCCAGCTACGAATGTTGCTGCTGCTGCTGCAGTTGTCCTTGCTACTACTACTACTACTACTACTACTTCTGCTGCTGCTGCTGCTGTTGCTGCTGCTGCTGCTGTTGCTGCTGCGGCTTGCCTGGCTGTCGTTGGCGTGCTGCAGGCGCGATCCACTAACAAGAAAGACAGCAATGAAGCTCTGGGATGCTACGGCGACAAGCGAGCCACTGAAGAGCCCCTCTCGTGCATGTATGTTGCTGGCGTTGCTGCTGCTGCTGTTGCTGCTGCTGTTGCTGCTGCTGCTGGGGGCGCTAGCAGCAGCCCCATCAGCACTGCAGCAGGCGCCAGCTTCAGGTGTCTCCTGCGGCTGTCTCTGCGCTGAGAAAAGGAGACAGGGAAAGGTAAGAGGAGACGAAGGGGCAGCGATGAGGGGGTCCTCAAGGTCACCAACTAGACTGCAGCAACTGAGCTGCATGCGGTGTCTATACACCTCAACCCGGGGGGGGGGAGACAAACTGTCTCCTTTCTGATAGAAAACAAAACGCCAGTAATACACAAAAGGAGGAGACACAACTGAAGTGTCTCCGCCGCGTACACGCCGCCACTCCGCGCCCAAGTCACACGCCAGACAGAGACGCTGCACGCAGACACAACACCCTAAACCCTAAACCCTAAACCCTAGACCCTAAAAACCCTTATCCAGACGCAACACAGCGAGAGAGAGACAGAGAAATACAAACAAATACAAAAGGAGACAGTGCCGGCGTCAGCCAGAGACAAAAAGAAGAAAAGGGGTTAAAGAGAGACAGAAGCTGAAGCTAAACAAAGACAGAGAAGGAGACACAGAAGCAGTCCCCTGTAGACAGCTAGCGCTGTATCAAGCCCCAAAAGGAGACAGCTGCTCCCCCGCGCATGCA